CCTTGCCCTCAGATTCAGAGCATGGATGCTAATTCCAGGGGCTCTGGATGACACACTCTTGGGGAGCTGGGGCATGAGGGGTGGCAGGAGATTCACCTCCAGTCCTTTGTTCCTTCCCGTTTTAGTTGATCCAAATGCGGAGGCTTCAACGCCTTCCCTAGAGGAGCCGTCCCGCTCTGGTTAACCTCTTAGGCAGGAGGTTAGTGCTCATGGGCACCAGTTTCCTTGTGCTCAACATTGTCTTGGCTTCTCCTGCGTCTCCTGGACAATCCTCTCCTGTACACACCCTCAGATCCACAGACCTGCTTATCCAGTCTGCTTCCTACCTCAGTGTTTGACTGAGGTAAGTACTTTTTGTTCTCTCGGTCCTCCTCCGTTAGGAAGCTGGCTGGCTTTCAGAGCTTGGGGATCGGTTGGGTGAAGCTTGCAGCACTCTCTGCTGAGAGGCAAACCAACAACTCTCCGCTAAAGGGGAAACTGGTCCTGTCAAAAACCTATCTGGGAATTTTTGTGACTGGCGGGAGGAGGACTGAGCAGCTCCATCAGGAGGTGATGGAAGCCTCTTCTTGGTCATGTCCTGAGCCATGGCCTCTGAAAATCCAGAGCTCAGCTTCTTGAAATCCACCCCACAGCCCTTTAAGGCAGGGAGCATTCCCTGCTAGGCTTCATGAAAGTGGGGAACCGAGTCAGAAACGTGGCTTAATCACAACTTCTAGGAGGAACCACAACCAGGGCCCAGATGAGGTCAGAGAACACGGTTTAAATCAGGTCACCGCTCGATATTTATTGTGTGGAGTTTTTATTTTTTTCTTTACTCCCTCACTGAAATCCTTCCCCAGAGGCTATTCAAGGAAATAAATAGCCAGTGGAAAGGGACAATAGCTTGCTGTGGAGTACAAATTATATGAAGCAGTAGGAAATAATAGCAGAGTGAGCAGCTGCTACTCCGAGAAAGAATGCACGATTGCTCTCTCCAGCTCCCTTTGCCTTGAGCAGATGCCGATGCCTGGTCCACAGCACAGGCTCCCTGGTGCCTTGAGCGCAAAATGGGACAGGCGCCTTTCCCCCCCACATTGTCGTCCTCCGGTGCCACTAATTAGCGCCAAGCTGAAACCACAGCCTTTCGTTAGGGTGCATAGGGGGTCTCTTGCCTCTTCTCACAGGACTTGGTTTGAGGCATTCCCGCAGCTGGCATGTCCACCTCGCCTTCCCCTCTCTCCCTCTTCCCTTCTGGGCTGAGCATCCCATCTGGTGAAGACCCATGTCACTCCTGCGAGGGACTATTCATAGCTCGTGTCATCTAGAGAGGACGTATTATCTGCCCTGTCCGCTGAGCCCCTTGAAGCCCTTCCTCAGGGCACTGTTGGGAGGGATGTTTGGGATCATTTTGGTGTGCTGGTGTGGATTTTGGTTGCTGCCCCCTGCCACAAAGCGCCCTGAGAAACTTCTCACAGCTAGGGCAGTTGGGCTATCTTGGCCAGGAAGTGGGGAAGCCTGTGGTTTTCCTCAGGGCTTCACACCTAGCTGGCTTATCTCCTGCCCGAGTAAGGAAACAAAATAAATACTGCTGCCAGCAATGATGCTGCTGAGGATCTTGGCAGCCTGCTGGGGAGGGTGGCACTCAGTCTGTCCTCAGCAGCTGTGTGGGTGCCCTGTGGTAGCAGTGGTGGCTCTAGGCTATGGTACATGAGGTCCTGCTCTCTGGAGCCATCCCAAGGGTCCTGAGATCCCATGGGTGCTCCTGGTGGCCTGAGATCTCCCCAGGACTAGCAGGAAGGCTGGGCTGTTAACCCCAACACTTAGCTTATGGGAGCTCTGCAAATGGAGCTGCCACATTTCACGGGGTGCAAGCACGATGTGGTTGCATCGGTCTCTTCCCTCCCTAAAATATGATTATTAATTTTTTTCTGTTTTCTCCATGCAGAACTGCAGTCCTGCCTGCTCTCTGTTGGAAGCTTGCTTTGCCCTCAGGTCAGGCACAGCCCCCACCCTTGCGTCGGCGACTGCTTTTTGGGTCTCTGCTGTCCCAAGGCATCCTCTGGGAATGCAGCAAAGCCTCCTCCAGTGCCAGCGGTGTGAACATGCGCATCCCACACCAGTACAGGCCAACTGCCCTCCAGCCAGGATGAACATCTGTATGGGCAGAGGCACTCCCAGGCAGGTACCCTATTATAGGATCATCTCTCTGGGGGTGAAGGGTTCCTAGATCCCTTGCACCAGTGGCTGCCAGCTTCCACAACCATTGCTTATATTTTCGTCACTGCATAGACCCTCCACCGCCTTTGCAGATGTCCTTCAGCCAGATTTCCTCTTTCTTTGGGATTTACATTCCCATCATATCACCGTTTCCCCAGGCTTTCTGCTTTGCAGTGTCTGCATGGAAGTATTAGCCTGCCCCCTTCACCCTTCTTTCATCATCCCAATTGCCACTTCCAATCACACTGGAGAATTTTGGCTCTTCTGGGGTCCCTGAAGTCTCAGCCCCTTCCTATGTGGGGAGCACATACCCCTGCGTGAGAGAGGCCATCTGCACAGGGCTGGTGGCTGACCATGCAGAGGCTCAGCTCTGCAGACGAAGGAAGTCGCCAGCGCTGGCAGAGTTGCTGCCTGGTTTCCCACTATTGTTTCCAGTGGCAAATAAAAGGGGGGTGAACGCCCCTGCTGAGCATTGTAGGAGGGGGGTTAATGTTATCTTGATAAAATCTCACGGCCCCTCTCTGAGCAGCTCGTGCCTCTTTCCTGCCCGTCTCCCTCCCTGCATATACTCACATCCGTGGTACTTGTGGCTCTGCACATAACTCTCTGCATGGGTAGTTTTCCCCATCCCTCAGACACTTGCTGCTGTCCCTTGTAGGCATCCTCATGCTCTGCCAGTGGGATCGGTGGATAAATCCCAGTGAGAGTGATGTTTCTGTCTGGTCTGTGTGGGAAGTGGGGGTAAGGCTCCTCTATGTTGCTGACCCAGGACCTGGGTCTTGCTTCTGCCACGACACTCTTACGTCACCTTGGCCAGCCATGTAGGACAGGATTTTTCTGACTGAGTTTAGGATCTGTCTTGGCATGTAAGCTCTTGAGCCCTAGAAATGTTTGTTTCTCCCCACTGGCTTAAAGTGAGTTCAGATAACTAACCCTGATGGTGGCTATGCAAACTGTCTTTGTACTGCCCTTGTCCCTGCAAAGGGACAACGTGAGTTCTGGAAAGAGAAACCTCTCATAGCTAGTGGGATGCTCCGATATTTTGAGAGGGAGGCTCTGGGGTCTGTGTCCTCCCTGAAGTGGCTGCAGGGGAGCAGGGTGACGTGAAGGTGTGCGCGGGTGGGACACAGCAGTGTGATGACCCAATGCCAGAAACTTCCATGCCCATCGCCTGCTCCACGCTTAGCCCCGGGAGGTTTCACCAACAGCTTCAGTGACATCAACAGCAAACAAATTTCCCAAGACTTCTGGGTTTTATGACCCCTGCTAATAGGAAACACCTCCAGGAAAGGAGTGCTTATCAGCACTTACCTCTGCTTGCTTTGGGAGGTTTTGGGGAAGGGCAGAAGCTGTCTCCCAGCTGCCTCTGCAGCAGCAGGATGACTTCACTCAGCTGCTCTCTGCAGGGCTTGGGAAGGGGGCTGAGGGACTGCTGGTCTCCTGAGCCTTGGCCTCCTCCTCCTCCCTCTTGCTTTGCACTGACTTCTGGAGTCTGGCAAAACACCACCAATTTGTTCAACCAAATCTCAGACGTGTCTACTCCCAGGCTCTTACCTGGGAAGAAAACATCTGCTCCCCTGTGAGGACAACATTCCTCTGTCTCACTGTTAGGGAGGATGGGGCTATTGAACCTGATGTGCATGGCTCCTCAAGCTAAAAGGTTTGAGTCTTGATGGAACTTGGAAGGGAGGTTGCAGAGAGCTCCCACGCAGCTGGGACAGAATCTAGAGCCACGAAAAGGGAAGGAGCTGGGATGACACTTGTGTCACTGCTGCAAAGGGCTATTCATATCTCGTGCCAGCTAGAGGGGATGTTGGCTGCCCTCTCCTCTGAGCCCCTTGGAGCCCCTTCCTCAGAGCACCGTGCAGAGCGATGGTAGGGACCATTTTGGTGTGCTGGTGTGGATTTTGGGGGCTGCCCCTGACACAAAAGGAAGGAGCTGGAATGCTTCTTTTGTCTGAGCTGTTACATGCAGAAGAGAAGTGAACACGGTGGTCACACCTCCATGGCCAGTTGGGAAGACGCTTGTCCTGTGTGGTGGCTGGAGTAGCACCCCTAAGGGCCGTGTGTGGTGGTCCCTCCACTGGGAGCCCACTGAGGACGCTGGGAATTGGTTAAATCTCCTGAAGTCCCAAAGGAGAGAAAGTGTACATAGGGAAGCTATTTGGATCAAAGTCTCCTGGCTTAACAGCAGTCAGTGGGGCCTTGCAGAGGTGGGGGTGCTGTTAATGTGTAAGCCACAAGGAAGTTTAGGGCTGTAAGGTCTTCTGTGCAAAGCGTTTCTGAGCTAAACTGCTGGTGGCTCCTTGCCTGGTTACTCTGTCCTCTGAGGAAGATGTCTGTAAGGGCTGCTGCTACTGTCCTCTGTCACCCAGGGTCCCCAGCTCAGCAAGGCTGAGTGAGGGACCAGCAAGCCACAGCCACCTGCGCTCTCACCACTTGCATTTCTTGGGCTGCAGGAGATGCTGCCTGCCAAATCCTGGCTTGTACCCCTCTGCTTTAACCCTCTTTGTATCTCTTCTGTCATGCTCTCCTTTCCTTCTGCTGAGGACAAGCCTGTTTTCATCTCCTCTCTCTCTGATGTCTTTTCTTGCTTGCTGGCTTCACTCAGCCCACTCTTCCCTCACTGAGTGAGAAGCCCATGTAAGACCTCCAGCACGGAGGGTTTTTGGCCACAAGAGACACGCCATCTGAGAGCAGTAGATGTTCTCCTGGCTGGGGCACCTTCTCCAAGCAGCACCCTCTCACTTGCAGGGGAGGAATGGCTGAAGGAGCCAAGCAGACTATTTTTCTCTCTGCCTTAGGAAAAATTTGAAATCTTCAACCTGGATATGAAGACTGGGGACACCCTGAAAGTCAAGGGCAAGGTATCTGATGATGCTGACGGGTAAGTACAAAGAAATCACCTCAACTTGTGAGGACTGAAGGTGGGCTGCAGAGGGAGGTGGTTTTGCAAGGTCGCCAGGTACAAGAAGTGTGAGCATAGCTCAGTGTTAGGGGACCCCCTGCGCCACCACCATGCAAACTCCCCCGGTTCCCAGGCAGAATGAGGAAACAGGAGGCATTAAGTACCTGCAGCGCTGATGGATGAGTTGGGTGCAGAGCCATGTCTCGGATCTCAGGTCTTCCAAGACCCTGTCCTGCCCATGTGGCTGACCTTCCTCCTGTTCACCCACAGCTTCAGCATCAATCTTGGCTGCAGCTCCTCGGATCTGGCATTTCACTTCAATCCCCGCTTCAATGAGTCTGTCATCGTCTGCAACTCCAAATGCTCCAATGCCTGGCAGGCAGAGCATCGTGATAACCACCTCTGTTTCTCCAAGGGCTCCACTATAAAGGTGAGGGGTCTGTGCTGGCATGGGGTTGTGGGGGGTGTGTGTAGTGGGGGGAAGCCCCCTGGTTAGCAGATTCCCATACCCTAGTCCTTCCAGTCCCATCCAATGCTTCCTGCTCCCTCCCAACAGCCCCTCATCTTCTGGGTTTTTGGTCCTGATTGCCATTTCCACCCCTCTTTCAAAACCCCAACACCTCCTCTGGGAACTTTGCGTGAGCCCTGTCTGTCTCAGGCTTTGTAAGTGCTTCCCGCCCCCCATACCTGCCCAGCAGGTGAGTGCACCAGGGGCACATATGAAGGTAAAGGGGGTCTCCAAGAAGCAGGATCTTGCTACTCTGTACCTTATTTCTCTCCCTAATTCCCTCCTATGCGAACACGGGCTTTAAGGCAACCCAGAATTTGGAGCAATATCCACAAACCTGTCCCTCAGCTCTTCTGTCCTTGCTGCTCCTGAATCCATGCTGCCAATCTGTCCTCCCTCTCCTCCTGCTGTGGATGCTGTCTCACCCCATCTGATGTCCCGAGACATTAACAAGGCTGCATTTTGGAGCAGTCCTGTTCCCGTTGCTGTGGAGAGAAAGCTTGTTTCCTCAGTCATGGCTGGCTTTTGGGGAAGAGGTGGTGAGGTGAACGGCTTTGGGGAACAATCCCTTTAATTTGCAATGATGAGCGATGCATTCTTGTCTGATCTGCTTGTGTGTTTTTATCAGCGAAGCTCCTTTTCCCGGGTCCTGGTGAGCTGCGGAGGGCATGGGGTGGCAGGTTTATTCTGCCCTGTTAAGAGCTGATCTGATCAGGGCAGAATAAACCTGGTGGCAGGTTTATTCTGCCCTGTATAGAGACATACTTGAGTTTAACTGCTCTGAGTTTACAATTTGAGTAGCTGAAACAGCCCCAGGAGAGATGCTGTCCCCAGGTCATAGTCTAGATATCAGCTCAGACCCTTACTATCAGCTGCTCATTTCCTGCATCACCCACAGCTCAACCCCCAGCACCGTGCTTAAGGCTGTAGGGACCAGGTCTGAACCTCATGTGTAACAGTCAGGCTTTTTGCCCGGATGCTTGTCTCCTAATCTCTTCCTTGTCCCCAATTCCTGCCCTTCCTCCCCTCTTTTCTGCCAGATCATCATTGAAATGCTGGCAGACAAATTCCAAGCGAAACTACCCGATGGGCATGAAGTGGAGTTCCCCAACCGACACTCCTATGACAAGATCAAGTACATGAGTGTCAAGGGAGGCTTCAGGGTCACCTCCTTCAAGCTGGACTGATGGGTGCTGCTTCCTAGCTCTAATAAAACCGCAAGCAGTGGCAGACTGCTTGCTCCAGCTGCTTTGGCTTCTGTGTGATCTCTGGCTCTGTGGCTCTGTGCAAGACACTGACAAAACACAAGGTTTTCCCACCAACAGGAAAGGAGCCCTTGTTGGATGGAAATAGCTCCAAGATAAAGCCAGGTGTTTTTCCAGCTCAGACCGGGATGTGGGGTTGAATGGATAGCAGGTAGGGCAAAGTAGGCTGTAGGTGGGGTTCAGGAGGAGGAGGACACTGTGTGATTGCTCGGGTAATGGTTGTGTAATCTCTTCACGATGCACCATTTCTTCCTGCACCAGAGTTTTTGGGAGGGAGGGAGGAAGGGGAAGAAAAGCATGGATGTGAGCGATGTGGCATTCGATGTGGCATTTGGTGCCACAGAAGTGCATAATTAAATGCTAGGTTTGGGAACCTCAGGGCATGGGTTTGACGGGTTCCTCTTGGCTGCTCTCAAAGCCAACGGGCAGGAGGAACGGGAAGGGGTGCCTTCCTGCACCAGAGTTTTTGGGAGGGAGGGAGGAAGGGGAAGAAAAGCATGGATGTGAGCGATGTGGCATTCGATGTGGCATTTGGTGCCACAGAAGTGCATAATTAAATGCTAGGTTTGGGAACCTCAGGGCATGGGTTTGACGGGTTCCTCTTGGCTGCTCTCAAAGCCAACGGGCAGGAGGAACGGGAAGGGGTGCCTTG